ACCCACTGAGCCACCCAGGCTCAGTGGGTTAAAGCCTCTGCCTTCGGCTCAGGTCATGATCCCATCATACTGGGATCGAGCCCCGCATCGGGCTCTCTGCTCTGCGGAGAGCCTGCTTCCTCCTCTCTCTGCCTGCCTCCCTGCCTGCTTGTGATCTCTCTCTGTCAAATAAATAAATAAAATCTTTAAAAACAACAACAAAAAAAACAAACAAAAACAAAAACAAACCAGGGCACCTGGGTGGCTCAGTTGGTTAAGCAACTGCCTTCAGCTCAGGTCATGATCCCGAGGTCCTGGGATCGAGTCCACATCCGACTCCCAGCTCCACTGGGAGTCTGCTTCTCTCTCCGACCTTCTCTTCTCTCATACTCTCTGTCTCTTTCTCTCAAATAAATAAATAAAATATTTTAAAAAAGAACAAACCAACGCAAATATTTTAAAGTAATTTTGAGGCCTATAAGAAGAGTACTGCTCTAAGGGGAGTAGCCTGAACTCTGAACAAAGAGTGGGAGCTGTGAAAGAGAGATGTTCTGAATCTTAAAATGTAAAAGTAGGGTTGATACCTTACTAGTTACTCATGATGACATTATTTTACTTTTTGTCCCCCTGAAGACCGGGAGTGTCTATCAATGCCTCTCAAGGAAGGAGTGCGTATTTCACAAGACGCAGGAAGGAGTTAAGTGCTCCAATTTAAAGGTGACTCCAGGTGATTCTGATGTACACGGTGCCCCCAATTAGAGGACCATTCCCTTCTTGGAGGTCCCTGTAGGGTGGCTGGCTGAGGCCTGTGTGCAACCAAAATGCATCTGAGACCATCAATATGGAAGGCTGGCCACTCCTATTTCAAATACCCCTTGAAGATAAGCAGAGCTGCCATGTCAGACAGAGGATAATGAAATCCCCCCGTGTTCCTCCACAACTCACGCCACCTCCCTGTCTGCCCAGCATGGGGACAGCTTTGAGCTGCGAAGACGGTAGGAAGAGGGCCAGAGGGGATCCCACTGCACGCCATCTACCAACAAGTGCACGTACATGCCTGCCAGCCTGCCCCACTGCTCCCATTCAGTTGAGGGACGATGACAGGCAGATGATTGCAGTGCCCTTTGCAGTCAAACCTGGGAGCGTCCTAGAACAGGGCTCCAAGAAAAGTGTTGACCAGAAACCGAACACACTTCCTGCGGCGCTGCAATCTTCTTTCATCCCCTGACATGCCTGAGACCATTATGGCTTCTGATAATGCTGACGAGTTCACTTTGGACAAAAAATGCAGACCAGTAACAGCATCCCTCACTATGACGATCCTGAGTTTCACCCTGTAATGGCTTCTTGGGCCAAACATACACATTTCTTGGATAATTACAGTGTCCACAAACCTGGGGACACTGACTGAAGTAGATGGTGCCTGCCGTGCGGCAGCTTCCAGAACAGAGTGCACTGGGCTGACGTGAGTCGCTGAACAGCACCCAGGCTGTGAGGGTGGCTGGGCTCCTAACAGCCTCCTCAGTAAGGACGCCCCTAACTACACAATCACATACGCTATGGGGCCACAGTCTATAACAGAGCACAGGTGGCTGGTGAAAGGATGTATCCTTCCTGCAACCATCTATTGCCACAATTCCACACAGCCCATGGAATTAAAAGCCTTGATAATATCAGGTAATGCTTCAGCAATGCTAACTTTCAAATTACTTTGAAGTCACAACGATGAGTAACATTTATATTTGATGGTAAAAGTTATATCTACAACAAAGGTAAAACCCAATTATTTATTTTAGCTGAGCTCTAACATTTCTCTATATGTTAGAATAATGGCTACTCCTGCCGGTTGACTAACATTCTTCTTCCAAATTTCCCTAAGTAAAGGATTACATTTAGGACACAGCAGGTCTTTAGACTTATGACCGTCCCAAGAATTAGTAAACATCTGCAAGTTACACTCATCCTTCCCATTCTAGTCATTACCGTGTTTTAAGGACATGTGTCAACATGTTAGGTGTCCCAGCAAGAAGGGGACCTCAGAAGGAGAGGAGATGCGGAGCCCTTTGTAAAGGCAAAGAATTCTGTCTTAGGTACCAGGGCAGGGGCACCTGAACATGCAGAATCCCTTTCCAAAGAAGCTGCAGTAAAGACAGATTCGAGGATCTAGTCAGTCAAACTAGGATCTTTGCAAGAGGTATAAAAACCGTGGGCACAGCTGGGTGGGAAAAGCCACTCACGCTACCTAGAATGTCAAGACCTAGGCTGGACTGCACACATTGCCAGACTAAATATTACCTAAAAGAAGAACAACACAACAGAAAACAACCAAATAAGAACCAAGCCAAAATTAAAAATACTCTTTTGAAAGATCAGTCAGACAGTATTTCCCACAAGATAACTTGACTTTCACAATGACAATTCGTTATTCTGGTCTTGTTTAAATTACAGACAGGCATTTTCTTGAGACGAACTTGGCTAAACAGTGCAAATATGGACGGATGTATCCATGAAAAGGAGACAGTCTCATGGAGAGCACACCATTCATATCCAAATAAAGGCCAAAATACCTCCATAGCCTTGGAAAGCATGACCATTGGATCAATATTCTACAGATTTCTTCTCTGATCTTACCTACCATTAAATATAGAAAAGCCTTTGGTATAAAAGGCTTTGCTGGACTATCATAAGCATTCCACATCCACACATGGCAAATCTGAATGTATCACTAGGACATTTTCAATTCTTAACTCCTAGTGTAATATTTATAGTCTTTTCTTTTATGTTTACTAGAATTATTATTTTGGCTACTTCTAAAAATAGAAGACTTCCCCTATGTCACTCAGCCATAAAGCATTCAAATCAACCAGTTCTTAGTCAAAGCTGATTAAGAGGTGGGTTAAGATAAGTTAATGAGCTAGCAAAATATATGAAGACAAAATATCTTAGCACATACAAAAATATATAATTGCAATACTTACCTATCAGCCCCTTCTCAAGAGTGAAGGTTTTGTTTGTAAACATACATTCAAAAGCCACAATGTGAAAAATCTTGTTCACTGTGTTGTGAGTCCCAACTATTCGAATATACCTGGGGGTAAAAAGAAAATTTGTTGAAGAAAACGAGGTTCCATCACAACCAATCCAAAGACAACAGAATGAGATACATGGTGCAAGTATACAGTGTTCCAGGGCATGAACTAAAGAAGACTTTGAACTTGACTTCAGATCCTCTATTTGCTCTTTAGGGCTAGCTCCAACTGAGCTTGGAAGCAGGATGGCAAAATTAGGGAGATACCACTTTCCGGAGAATTAAGCAGAACTTAGATTTGATTTACCTAGAAAATCAAACCAGGTACTGTGGAAGCTCAAGCCCCGAATGTCAGTATAATCATATGTCCATGAGACATTCACACTGGAGAAGCACGGCTTCTGTCTTCTCCTTGTGGTTAGGAATGGTGCATGGACACTCGCCAAACCAGATGTTCTCCAACTCAAGGAAAGATTTCACCCATTGGAGACAAATGCATAAAATCAATATTGCCATCCTGTTTAACAGAAAAATCCACAGAAACTACTAAAAACCACTCACAGTTTTTTCTGTTTCAACGCTGCTCCTAAATCCTTGTAGAAAGTGCCTGCTATATACGTACACCAGCCCCCAGCCTCCCCTCCCTGCTTCAACCTGACTACTGGGAGGCCTTCTCCTGACCAGAGGAAGTGATCTGCAGAGGTGACCCAGCCGGCTCTGCAGCCCCACTCCTGGCCACACAGCTCTGGTGTCTGCATACAGTGCGGAGTTTCACAGGGCAAGTCTTGAGCAGCCCGGCCTGTTCACCCTCTGTGTCTCCCTAGAGGCTTCACCTCTGACAAACAAGCATTAACCTTGGAGTGACTCGTTCCTTTCCCTCTCCAGAGGGACCTGACAGTTCACAGGTTAATGAACAGACAAACTCATTCTTCTGAGTGTCACACAAATCGCTGGAGAATGTGCCGCACACTGTCTTACTGGGATGCAAAGGAAGAACTGGGGAAAATAACTAGATTAAGTGATAACACTCTCCCAAATTATGAGCTATGCGCTCTGAAGGATGGGGCATATTAAATGAACACATTTCAATTAGGAGATGACAGACTGGGCAAGGTTTTAGTAATATCCTTCCTCTGCTGTGTAAAACCACCTTCGACTTCAATGATATAATTTTACTTCTGAGTTAATCGCTGTTCACTAATTCGGTAATTCCCTTACATTTCTCATCACTCCAAGTTAACTGTGTAATGTAAATGCCAATCTAAAAAAAATTCACATTAAGGAGACTATATTTGGGGTTTTTATGTCATGAGCTATTTTCCCTCCTGTTCCTTCAAGCATGAATCTCACGGCATTCCCGGTGCACCTCATTTAGCCATCTGCTTCTTGACACGAGCTGGTCACTCATCTTCATAACCAATCGAAATGCTGTCTCCTGGGCTGGCTGTTCAGTGTGCCCAGGCCCCCTGCAGGGAGACACCATTCTTCCTGTATGGAGAGTCAGGGCGACAGCTGCGCTCATCAGAGTCCTCTGGTTAAGCAGGAGGTTGGCCCTGAGCTGTCCTCTCAAGTCCTCAAGGCAGACAGAAGGTATTAATGCTACTGCCTTTGGATGGGTAGGTGGGGTTCGAGTAAAATAAGTTCTAAAAGGTCTGTGTGGAACAGGAATTGTGCTGCTCTTTACCATTGGCGGTGACAGTCTATACAGACTTTCTGGAAAGGAAGGGGTGTGTTAAGCCTGGTACATTGGACTGAATCTAATTTTGTCCATTTCCTTAAACCCACAGGAACTCAACCAGCATTGCATTTTCAACTGCTCATGGTTGTGACAGTCAGTACTGTTGTCTGTAACCTTGGAGGGAATTGAGGGAATGTGGTTTAGGGAATTTGATCAGATCATTCTCTTGTTCCCTAGGTCGCATCTCCACCAAAAGAGAGGCAGCTCTCCTAATACTGTGTAAGGTAAAGGGGCCAGGAAGTGACTGATAGGGCCCTTCCCCATTGGCAGTTCTTAAGGTTAACAGTCCAGGCTGACTTAAGGGGATGCAGTCATGTCCTCTCCCTCCCTTTCTTCCTTTTTATAAAAAAAACATTGTATGGAACCAGGTTCTCCAACTTTAGATAATAATCATTTCCCAAATTTAACTGTGGTGCACATATCAAAAATAGGAGAAAATATGCAACCTTTCTCTCCTTCATCCCCCAATTATAAGAAACTGAAAACAGATAATTATACAGGAATACATTTTACAGCCTTAATGATAGTGCTTGTGATAACAAACACGATAATATATATGGTTGGAAAGATACTGAGAGATGCCTCCAGATTAAAAGTTCTCTTTAAATGAAGATAATGTTTTCTCTGCTGCATAATCCTGAGGTCAAATTAGCAATTCGCCACTGTACATCACACTTCTTGATTAGCCCGTTACATGTAAATGCTCATAACAAGTTTAATTATTCTGGTTCTACAATACTTTCTAAGTCTCCACAAAATTGTAGCATAATTTGCAAAAATGGCATGAAGTCCTTATTCAAATACACATTCTAAAAAAATGGAAACAAAGTCACAAGAAAGACACCATGCTCCTCTTTCCCAGCGAGGAGTGGTTTAGATCCTTCACTAAAGATCTAGCCTTCAAGTAAGAAAATAGGCTGCCACGAATCCCCCAACTTCAGTGACCAGAAGGGGAACCTGGAGCTCTACACCCAGAACTCAGAGGCCCGGACCTGGGAGCAGTGGCTAGAGGGAGGGGGGCGAGCACGGACTCCAGCCCTGATGAAGAGTTAGGTTCTGTCAGAGAGCTCATGATGGAGCATCCCTGAGGCAGAAGAGCAGTTTTTATTACCCGAGCTACTGAAAATCCAAGGTGATGGGGATGGCGATCGGAGGAGGGTCCTCCCTCTCTTTTTCACTTATTTTTTTGTGAAAAACAAAGCCAAACTCGCTTCTGGGTCATAACACCTAAACAGGAGTAGATTTCACATTTTCTCTGCCACCAAAGATTTTGAATAAGGGGGAGAGTTTGAGATGAAATTTTTTTTTTCTCCGTTCAGCATCATCTCTCCAAAGCACAGTCAGACTCTGATTTAACCTGATAATAAGGGCAGTGGCAGCTAGTGACTTCATCAGTGTGCAGAGAGGGGCACTGCTGAAGAAGAGAGCAGCTATCCTTTGTTCTCTCTGATCCTCAACAGCAGCTCAGACAGTTGGAAGATAATTAAAACTTAAACAGCACCAAGGAAGGCAGCTAAGCAACAGATTGGCCATTTCTGAGGAGGATGAATGCTGTCCACATGAGCCCTCGCGAACCGTCTGTTCCTAATATTCTCCTCCCTTCCCTGTGTTGCTTGTCTTCTCGTCACTGACGGAGACCGGATCCCGCACACAGTTCACAACAGGATGTTTCAAGGCAGAAGTTTCCAGGAGCTGTAATATTGTGGGTGAAAAGAGATTCTGTCTTCTTTAATGAAATGAAACCTAAAACCTCTAAGGATAGCACTCTCAAATTGAAAGGCACGACGGAATTTTGAAGAGCGTGCTTTAGGGGCTAAGGCGCTAACAGAACCAGGTTTGTTGCCCAGCCCTGTCACTTAATTAGCTCTGCCACTTTGGACCAAAGTTAAAAAAAAAAAAAAAAGAAAGAAAAGAAAAAGCCTTAAACCTTTTGAACCTCAGTTTTCTTCTTTACAAAATGAGGTCAATAACACAAACCTTATGAGATATTTAGATGAGATAAGAATTCAAAGTGTTTAATACAGTGCTTGGCAGAGGACAATATGATTAAACAGAAATTTAAGGAGTAGGTCACGGGATACAAGATTTCTTGGGTCAGACTTTGAGAATGCCGGTTGTCTGGAAGAGTATTCCTAACTATAGATGTTAATAAGGTGCCTCCAAGAGGAGGCAGCCCCCCCACCCCCACCACAGGGGCAGACTTCAAGAACACAGGCAGGGGCCTGTCCTTCCTCTTCAGGCACCACAGTAGTGTCCCTATGCCCACAGAAAGAGACTCCATTCTAACTGCCGATTTATCTGGCTCTCCGGTATTATTTCCTTCTTTAAGCTTCTAGTCTCTAGAAAAGTCTATTTAAAACGTTCTCGACCTGACTCACCTATACATGAAGCAGCAAGAAACGAATCTTTTGCCCATGTTTGGTCTAGATACCCACAACCAAAGAAGAGTTTCTTTTCTGTGCAAACCCTAGTTCGTAGTTTTAATTCCTTAAGAAAAATACATTAGCATTTCCTAAAAGAGAGACATCATAATACTGTGACTTAGAGGAATTTTGCTTTGAGGATGTCATTAGCATTCCCCACCTGTTCTGGGAAAAGTACAGATTCCTATTCTTAACCCATCTTTCTGTCATTTCTTGTCAGGATGCTACCAGATTTGATTTCTAAGTCACATATGATACATTCTTAACATACTAAGGGAAGTACAGAAAAAGGAGAAAGTACAGAGAAATAGCAACATGTGTCTTCCTGCTTTAAATCCTCTGTATTCTCTAGTCTTCAGTTCTGGTGGACCACAGCCTACTTGAGGTTAGAGTTAACCCTTAACCTTTGCCTCTAGTTACAGGTTCACCCATGTCTGTACTGAGTGGGTTCTACTCCAAGATAAAATTGAATTCAGTAAGAAATATTTAAATGAGCTCTCAAGGGATCAACTGAAGTCTAAATCCACCAGAATTCTATTCTTTGGTAAACAAAGTTTTATTCTCTAAGTGAACTTCATATTCTTGGGTTAAACAGAGACTCTTGAGGAAGCTAGCTTTAGCCTGAGACTGTGTGCAAGAAGGGCTCCTTAACATTTCGGCTCTTTCTCTGAGGTAGCCAGAGAACTCTGCTGTGGCCAGATGTGGTCCTCTAGCGATAACCTTAGCTCCAGGATTTGTTAGGGACTTGGTGACCGTGTAACGTCTGGATTTGCTTCCAAGACTTCCTATTTGATTCTTGCTTTCAAGAAGATGCTAAGAAGGTACATAAATAATTCTCTGACCCAAGAAGCAGGTAATGTCTGCAGGTCTTGCCAGTATGGTATTTTCTTCCAGTTCTA